TGTTTTGCATAGGCAAAGACAACCATCTAAGTTGAAGACTTTACTTTGTCCGAGGCTAAGACCATTACACCGTCTAAGCTGAAGACTATACTTTGTCCAACGCGAAGACAACCCTCTAGGCTGAAGACTTTACTTTGTCCGAGGATAATACCATAACACCATCTAAGATGAAGACTATATTTTGTCCAAGACGAAGACCAGCAAAGTCCATTATACAGTCTACTTGAAGATTTTACTTCACCAACAAAAGATCTGACCTTTTGGCGCAAAGGAATGAAAACTCGTCCTCATTTTGAGATACATGAATCAGAGATTGTATGAAGCGTGATTTATTTATTTTTAAAAAGCTGACCACCAAGAATTTCTCTTCAACTTCAATCTTCACAGGTAATTTTATGATCTCCTTTATATAGATATGTTTCTCCTCCTTTTTTTTTGAAGGTAGAAGAAGAAATCAATTCCAAAGATACTAATTTAGTAAAGATAACCTCACAGTCGAAGAATCTTTTTTTTTTTTACATTTCAACTTGAAGACATGGCAGACTTGAAGGCTTCTACTTGAAGACTTGACAGATTTGAAGACTTCGACTTGAAGACTTAGTGGATTTGAAGACTTTAACTTGATGATTCAACTTGAAGGTTAAAGTATAAGAGTTAAACTTGAAGATGTAGCCACTTTGAAGAATTCAACTTCAAGACGTGGCAGACTTGGATAGTTGAAGACTTAGCGGACTAGAAGAATTTAACTCAACTTCAACTTGAAGATTTAGCATGCAGAGATTTCAAATCAATGATATAGAAAATATGAAGAATTCAACTTGGCGACTAGGCAAACTTGAAGAATTCAGCTAAAAGACATGATAGTCTTGAAAACTTTGCAGCCTGCTAAAGACTATAATTGTCTTGAAGATACTAATTTCGGTGAAGAGGATCAAGTCATTCTGCAATTTATAATGAGTGAGCTTCTTTGTTTTTAATACTTTATGGATTTGATGACTTAGCGCACTTGAATACTGCAACTTTAAGACCTAGCGGGCTTGAATACTTCAAATTGATGATGTAATAGACTTGACAAAATCAACTTGACTTAGAATTGGAGCCTTCAACTTGAATATTTAGCCTCTTATTAAAGAAACTACAATCATTCCATCAAAGACCTCATTTGACATGGAGGGCTTGGCCCTATTGACCTCATTTGAATAATGCCTTGGGTAATATGTATTTCTTGAACTCATATGACTGAACTTAGAATGAAACTCTAAGCTGCCTACGTACCTCGGTGAAGAGGATCAAGTCATTTGGTAGTTCGAAATGGGTGAGTTTTTTTTTTGGCGTCCTAACTTTTGCCTAGGCCGCCTCTTTGGAGGTTTTCAACCTAGCGGACTTTTTTTTTTGATGTCCTAACTTTTGCCTAAGCCGCCTCTTTCGAGATTTTTAACCTAGCGGACTTTTTATTTTTGTGTGTGGGCCGTACACAGTTTATACTCTTGTGGGTCAGGAGTAACATGCAGTTTATGCTCGTGCGTCGAGGAGCGTTGTAATTTGAAGATTTAGCTTATAATTCGAAATGCTTTGCAACTTTAAGACTTGCTCAATTTTGAAGAGCTTTGCAACTTGAAGTTCCACTCGAATTCGAAGAGCTTTGTGACTTGAAGATTTATCTCAAAGTTTAAGAACTTTTCAACTTGAACACTTTGCTCGAATTTGAAGAGTTTTACAACTTGAAGACTTTGCCAAACTTAAAGAGCTTTACGTCTTGAAGTTTAGCTCGAATTTGAAAAACTTTGCGATTTGAAGTCCTTGCTCGACTTTGAAGAGCTTTTGACTGGAGTCTTTGCTCGTATTTGAAGAGCTTTGCGACTCGAGCATTTTTCCCAAATTTGAAGAGCTTTACAACTTGAAGACTTTGCTTGAATTCGAATAACTTTACACCTTAAATATGTAGTTCAAAATTGGGGAGCTTCGTGACAAACAATATATACTCATGTATCAAGAAGCGTTATAACTTGCAGTTTAGGTACGTTGAGGAGCATTGCAACATGCAGTTTAGGCTCGTGCATTAAGGAGCGTTACAACTTGCAGTTTAGGCTCGTGCGTTAAGGAGCATTAGAACTTGCAGTTTAGGCTCGTGCGTTAAGGAGTGTTACAACTTGCATGGACTCTTCAGCTTCATCTTCGGATGAATACTTGCCCCCATCCTCGTCTTCTTATTTTTCTTCTTCGTAGTCGTAAGGCTCAAAGACAGGTAGCCCTTGGTCTCCACTTGTATCCATACTTAGTTCCATATCATGAGCACGAGTTGCTAGTTCTTCAAATGTTTTAGGATTTATGCCTTGTAAGATATAGCGAAGACCCCAACGCATGCCTTGAATGCACATTTCGATGCTAGAAGTTTCACTAAGGCGATCTTTGCACTTGAGGCTTAAGCTCCTCCATCGGTTGATGAAGTCAATAACTGGCTCATCCTTTCGTTGATGAGAGTTTGTAAGTTCGGTCATGCTTACGATGCGTCTTGTGCTATAGAAGCGATTGAGAAACTCTTGCTCCAACTGCTCCCAACTATCGATGGAACCAGATTTGAGATCTGTGTACCAATCGAATGCATTACCTTTGAGAGATCGAACAAACTGTTTGACAAGATAATCGCCATACGTTCCAGCATTGTTGCAAGTTTCAATAAAGTGTGCTGCATGTTGTCTCGGATTTCCCTTGCCGTCGAATTGTTGTAACTTAGGAGGTTGATAACCAACATGCATCTTCAAGTTATCAATTCTTTGCGTATACGGCTTTGCATATGTGAGTGATAATTTGGATGACTCAGGTTTATCTTTGATAGACTCCATGATGAAGTTCTTTAATTTTTCAACGGGAATAAGACCTTCAGCGGAGACTTGAATCTCCTTGGTTGTCATCGCTTGCTTTTCGGAGGAGTCTTCTTTCTCTTGTGATCTTTGAAGATTTAAAGGTGTTTGTGTCGATTCTCTCTCTACTATGCTATCCAATGTATTTGTTAACTTCAAAAGTTTAGCATCTTGATCTTGCATGTGTTTTGATAAGCTTTCAATTGCCTTCGTTAAATTTGTGAGTTGTTCTTCAACAGTTGAGGTATTAGGCACCATTGCTTGGATAACCATCGTGGATGGTGGAGCAAAGCACGAATTTTCTCTTACACCATACTTTGAGTGGAACAACTCACGTGGAGTGCTTGGAGTAGATCCAGTGATCAAGACATCATCATCGCCCTATGTGATGATGTTCTTAGATCTAGAAGGGCTAAGTAGAGCCAATGTCTTTTCAACAATTTCAGCAATGTTCGCCCCTTCTTCCAATTCAGTTGGAAAGGATCTTGCCCTCTTTGAGGATTGAAGATCAAATATAGGAACGGATGCAGACAGCATTTGAAATGCTTTTTGTCCCAGCAAGTTTGCTTTGTTCCTAATGACAGGTCCTACGCTTTCCACAGTAGCATCCAACAAGTTTTCCACATCAGATGAAAACTTGGAATCCGTAGCCTTAGCAGTAGTGAGTTTGAAGTTGATCTTCTTAGGAGCCATTTCTGTGTTCTTGAAATTTGGTAATTTGAAGAGATGAGAGGTAGAGATGGTCCTACTGGGTGTGCCAGAAATTTGTAACAACAAATTTTCGCGTCGAGAAAATTAAACAATCAAGACTGGAAAATTGCGTAACAAATGTAGTATTTGATTTCAATAAATGAAAGTGTTACAATCTCTATGGTATTCCTCTGATTCTTCAAGAATGTAAAGTATATTGATGAACTTGATTTTGATTTGATTCAAGGGCTTGTAAAGCTTGATCTTGAATCTCCTCCTTGAACTTGAATTTGTGCTTGATCACGAACAAGTAATTTGATCTTGAACGCCTTGGTATTTGATTTGGCTTCGTTCTTGATCTTGAACTTGAACTTGAACTTGTAGCTTGAGTGCTTGAACTTGTAGCTTGTAGAGAAATCTGCGATGTTTGATCCACGAGCTCTCTGCTTGCTTCTTGTTATCACTTCTTGTGTCTTCTAGCTTTATGAAGACCTCTATTTATAGTTATAGGGGGTGGTGTGGCTCTGCGATTTGATTGGTCCGTTTGAACTGACCAATACCATGCAGACACTTGGCATGATTTAATTGGCTCATTTATTTGTCTTGGATTGCCATATCACTTGACACATGGCACGATCTCATTGGCTCATTTATTTGTCTTGGATCGCCACGTCGCTTGGCATGTGTCTTGATTTAATTGGCTCATTTATTTGGCTTGGATTGCCACATCACTTGACACGTGCCATGATTTCATTGGCTCATTTACTTGTCTTGGATTGCCACGTCACTTGACATGTGGCATGATTTTGTTGGCTCGTTCTTTTGACTTGGATTGCCACATCCCTTGACACGTGGCATGAGCCTGGGCTTTAAGATGGGCTAATAGCCATTTGGACCTTGGGCTTATGAAGCGGGCTTATCATTTAATTTGTCGTCCAATTAAATGAACTAGCCCAACACATGTAAAATTAACCCAATTTATTAGCCACAATATTTGTTTGGACTAATGTCTTGAATTTGATATGGTCCAAATTTCTTTTATGGATTTAAATCCGATAAAATTTAAATGCTTACACACATATATATTTTTTTGGTAATTAATTTTCTCTTGTATTAATCACCAAAGACGAAGCTTTTCAATTCCATAGCCGAGCAAAACTTAGCTGATGTCATAACATATTTAAGACCATACAATTTAAAAACTTTTATTTATGTATTAAACTATGTGCCTAGTTATATATCTTTACGTAAAATGGACGGAGAAATTAAGTTAATCTCTTTTTCTTATGTTGTGAAAAAAATAAAAATAAAAAAGAAATTAAACATTAGGCTGGCACCATTTAATAGATTGGCGTGAACATATTATTACATCACAAGAAGTTAAAAGTTCACAACATATTAAAACTAGCCGTTACAAAATCTAACGTTAACTTCCACTTTTATTCAACTTCAAAAAAAAAAACATCCAAAATATACAAACTTTTGTTCTTTCAATTCATTCACTCACTTTCCTCTTCTCTCTCTCTCTCCATTTCCCTCTCTTCCATTTTAAGCTGAAACAAATTCTCAATCCTCAGAAGAAAAACAAAGCAGAATCTTGAATTTTCCTTCTTGAATTCAAGCTATTTTTACTTCTCTAATGGCGCCAACGCCTTCGTCGAAAAATCCAAGAACCCCAACTCCATTTTCACGATTAAATCAAACCCAAATACCCAATTCAAGAACACCTCAATCTAAGCACCGTTTAAATTTCACCACAGCAGCTGCAGCAGAACACCCCATTGAGGTAATAGGGCGAATTCGTGATTATTGTTCAGATAAAAATAAAGAAAAGGCCTTATCTTTATTACATATTAATCCTGATCGTGAGTCGTTGAGAGTTAAAACCGATAATGGATACAGAGATTTTACCCTAGATGGTGTGTCATTATCTGAAGAAGAAGATCTTGACGATTTTTACAAGAAATTCGTGCAGTCGAGAATTAATGGAGTTAAATTAGGAGAGAAATGTACAATTATGATGTATGGACCGACGGGTGCTGGAAAAAGTTATACAATGTTTGGGAGTAATAAACAGCCTGGAATTGTGTATAAATCTTTAAGAGATATATTGGGTGATGGAAATGAAGAAAATGATGAAAATGGTGTTGGGATTTTTGTGCAAGTTACTGTTTTGGAGATATATAATGAGGAATTATATGATTTGTTGTCTTCTAATAATGGTGGAGGATTTGGTTTTGGTTGGTCTAAGGGCAATGCTTCTAAGGTAAATATTTGAATTTTCTTCTTATACTTTTTTTTTTCATTGATGCACTGATTTTTCTAAATGTAGTTCTTTTAAGTACTGCCTCTGTTCCATTTTATGTGACGGTATTTGACTATGCATGGACCTATGTATAGATTAGAGGGGTCACTGGAACCCGTTAGCCTCGACAAAAATTTGGAATATATATATATATATATATATATAGTGTGTGTGGTCATATATTTTGCTTGGAACCCTTAATCAAAAGTCCGATGGGGGCACTGGTCGAGCAGCCCGCTCATATGCCCCCGCCACCTTCAAACCCTGGTTCGCCTCTGCTTGAAACTATAATCTTAAAAAGACTATAGATGATTGTGGTTATAAAATTGTGTCATTAAGGGTAAATCTGTAAGTTTAAGTACTGTATTCAAATATAGTAATGTGACTTTTTATTGTGATAGACTGAAAAGGAAAGTGTGTCGCATCAAATGAGATATGGGAGTAATTCATAATCTTCTTATGTTCTAGGAAGAAATTTCTAATTTGTAACATAAATTTCCTCTGTCACACATGATTATGGTTAGAAGGAAAAGAGAAAATTATTGCCAATAGACTCACATGAGAATTTGAAAAACTATAGTTATCCATATTGAGCATGTTGTCGAAAATGCTTGAAATGCTCAAGTTTCTCTCAATTGATGGAATGGACTAGTTGGTATACTTGGACTATAAGCAGCCTAAATCAATGTATCCCATTGACTTTGTGTAGATTTTTGTGACATTTTCGCGCTTTAGTGTAACAATTTCTCCTCACATAAGTTGACTTTGTGTATTCGCCTTACATATACATATACATATACATATATATATATATATATATATATATATATATATATATATATATATATATATATATATATATATATACATATACATACTTGACTTTAAATGGATGATGTTGTCATTAAATATTGAATGCTATGGTTTTATAGTTCTTCACTTAATTTCTTCGACTGCCACTGATCTATAGTACATTGCCTAATTTTGTGGTACGTATTTTCGCCTTAGCACCATTGTTGTGACAAAAATGAGATGTGCAGTGCTGTAAGAGGGAGTTAATAAAAGAGCACTGAATGCTAATGCTGTATAGTACCATATGATGTATAGTACTTTGCCTTATTTTGTGGTACATATTTTCGCCTTAGCGCCATTGTAGTGTACCTTAAGAGGGAGCGAATAAAAGAGCGACTAGATTTTCAGAAAATAAGGAGATGACCTAGGCTTAGATTGTCAAGTTTGTAATGAGAAAGCTGTCACAAGTGTAGTTACTTTGTCTGTCTCTTTATAATGTTGTCACTGTGTTTTTACCTTTGCAGGTGAGACTTGAAGTTATCGGTAAAAAGGCCAAAAATGCAACTTTTATTTCTGGTAATGAGGCTATAAAGATATCAAAGGAGATACAGAAAGTGGAGAAGAGAAGAATAGTGAAAAGCACTTTGTGCAATGAGCGGAGTTCTCGCAGCCACTGCTTGGTATCAATTCTGAAATTTTGTTTAACGACGTGTAAATGGAGAGAAGTTCGTTTACTATCTGTATTCATCGTTTCTGAAGGAAGCTAAATGTTGTTTGCAGATAATTCTTGATGTTCCAACAGTAGGAGGTCGGTTAATGCTTGTCGACATGGCTGGTTCTGAGAATATAGAACAAGCTGGTCAAACTGGCCTAGAAGCAAAAATGCAGGTAAGGTTTCAATTTTTCTTACTTAACTCACTTCTTTTGAGTTTGTTATCAGATTTCCTAGTAATATTAATTCAAAATGTCTCCTACTGGTAATGGACAATCAAATTTTGCAGACTGGAAAAATCAATCAGGGAAACATTGCTCTTAAAAGGGTGGTCGAGTCCATTGCCAACGGTGATTCTCATGTTCCATTCCGAGACAGCAAGTTAACCATGCTCTTACAGGTATATCTCGTGTATACGATCGATAGTTTGGCAGTAACTTTTTGAAAGTTATACTAGTTGTTGGAAGAAGTTGATTCAACTATTTGATGAAGTTGAGTCCATTAAAAGGGAAATCTACGCTGTATAGCCGCCCTCCAAAGTAATAACCGGAAAACATAAATTTTTTATATATTAATAAATAGTATATATAATATATAATCAGTGTATATTTGGCTAGCAGTTGTAATTATTTTCGGCCTATGTGGCAAATGCGTTAAAAGGCCTTTGGGGAAGTTACAGATTTGACCGCGAAAATATTTACGTTATTTATCCAATATACATATAGTATACATCAATTATACATAATATACACATTCTCCGGCTATTTTTTGGGCGGACGGCTGTTTAAGTTAATTTCTGCTAATGGTGATTTTCGTGTGCCATTCAGAGATAGCAAGTTAACTATGGTCATTCTGTCTTTACAGCTATATCTCGTGTATGCTACATATAGTTTAGCAGTTAGGTTCTTAAAGTTATATTAATCGTTTTAAGAAGCTGATTCTACTATATTTGATGTAGGATTCTTTTGAGGATGACAAGTCAAAAATTCTCATGATACTGTGTGCGAGCCCGGACCCTAAAGAGCTCCACAAAACCATCTCTACTCTAGAGTATGGCGCCAAAGCGAAATGTATTGTCCGTGGCCCTCATACACCGTTGAAAGAGAAAGGCGCAGAAGATTCCTCATCGGCAGTTGTTCTGGTGTCGAGAATTGCAGCTATGGATCAGTTCATTTGCAAGCTGCAAATGGAGAACAAACTCAAAGAGAAAGAGTGTAATGAAGCTAAGAGAAAGATTATGAAGAAAGAAGAAGAAATTGCTACACTAAGGTCTAAGCTTGAATTAGCAGTAGTACATGGAGGAGTGGAGAAAACTGAGGAGGATATCATCGTTAAAGTTAATGAGCGGACTCGGATGTTGAAACATGAGTTCGAAAAGAAGATACAACAATGTCAGCAAACGGCAAATGAATTTGTAGAGACGGAAAGGAGGAAGATGGAAGAAAGAATGTTCGAACAGCAACAAGAGTTCGAAATGCTCAGGAGGCGCTTGGAGGAGATCGAGGCTGAGCTTTGGCGTTCAAGGGTTGACGACAACAGATCGATTGAAGTGGAGGAGGAGAACAGTTTCGCGAAAAGGCTGCTGGATAGTTATTCTGAAGATGCAGGAATGGTGAAATCTATGGATTTGGACAGATCTATCGACATGGACTCAGGAAAGCGGGACACAGTGGTCTATAATTCAAGAGAAGTTGAAGATCCTTCTATCTTATTGCAACATTTTACCAACAAATCGTGCTTGTACACTGTATTTGAGGATGAAGAAGAAGACGAAAGCGACGTTAGTGAGGGGGACAAAGAGAATCCTCATGTTGAGGAGGTGCAAAAAGAAGTTATTGAGGAAAAGACGATATGTTCTGATGATCTTTCTAGTGATGCAGCAGCCCCGTCCAGAAAAGAGTTAATTCAAAATATATTCAAACTTTGTGGAAATTCTAGAGAACTTTCTCAGCAGTGTAGAACACCGGTTCCTGCAGAAAAGAAAGTTAAAGTCGCTGAATCGAAATCACCTCCAGTTAAGGAAATTGGAGAGGATTCACCTATACGAAAATGTCATAATGATTCAAAGGAGAACTTCAACCCAACATTTGAAAGCATAGGCGCTGCTGATCTGGAAGTGCACGTGAAATGGGAAGCTGCGTCGTTAAAGGAAAATCCTGAGTTAATCACCACACTAAAAGTTGTTAAAGGTTCAACTTTAGCTGATTTGCGCAAGCTGATTGAGATATATCTTGGTGCTGATAATCAAGCACTCAATTTCCTGGTACGATATGTTACTTCACTTGCCTTCACACATTCATTCACAATTCTTTGATATCATCTGCATGTATGAAGAATAGATTTCTAATCTTGAATAATTGAATTTTGTGTAAATAGGACATGTCTGGTGCTCCAGTGCCTAAAGAACAGGAGGCAATCACACGAGTAAGTGAGCTGCCGAGGTTCAATAACCAGTCGAATGGACACCTAGCTTGTTTGCAGCCAGTGAAGGGAACCGAGCTGCTGCATTACCTGCCATTTACTCCATTGGAAAATAAGCTTCCATTGACTTTGAAATCACATGGTATAGAGGCAGGTATTTGATTTTTGCCTAAAGCAGGCGAGCCACCGGAGTTGCCCTTTGTCGTCACTATCAAAAGATATCTCAGTGACTAATTAGTTGATTTGTATAAATTTGTGAGCACATAAGTAATCTTGTGCTCAAATATATGTGTTGTTTTGCTCTGAAATACACTTGCAAGATTGAGCATGTAAGTATTTGGTTTTACTCTGGAGTAAACCTGTATTCATATGCCCAAATATATGATTTGTTTTTTCTGGCTAAACAAACGGGAGCCTTGGAGCAACAGTAAAGTTGTCTTCGTGTGACCTATAGTTCACGGGTTGGAGCCGTGGAAGGAGCCACTAATGCTTGCATCATAGTAGGCTGTCTACATCACACCCCTTGGGACGCCCTTCCCCAGACCTTGCGTCAATGCGGGATGCTTTGTGTATCGGGCTGCCCTTTTTTATGTTCTGAATGAAAAATCAGGAGTTGTCTGAATAGGTCTTTTAAAAACACCAGAAGAAGTATACTGTTAATATTAATCTTTGGTTAAAACATCAAACAAGTTGAGCTCAACCCCATGAAATAAACCTAACATATTTAAGGGAATTTCATATCATTCTTTGAATAATTATGACCCTGATAAAGCACATAGCTAGAGAAATGCAAAGCAAAGCTACTTAAATAGGGGGTCAAAAACAGCAGATAATAGAAAAAAAAGATAAACAACATTATATTGGTTTTCAATGTTACTTTGGTCCATGAAACTAGGTATTCCGAGAAGATTTTAAAATAACAAAAGTTCATACATAAACAACCAAATGAAAAAAAAAAAAAAAAACATGTTCTTGAACATAATTTCATCTGTCATTGACGTTGAGTATGTGTAGGATTCTTGGTTTAATTGCAATCATTCAAATGGAGGGTCGAGTCACTTTCAATATCGTTCGTAGGGGTCTAAATCCCGGGAATCAACTAAATTTTTCCCCGCAAACAAAAGCCCTTGCAGATGAACATCAACATACCCAGTGTAATCCCATAAGTGGGGTCTGGGAAGGGTAGAGTGTACGCAGACTTTACCCCTACCTTTAAGAAGGCAGAGAAGCTGTTTCCAGTAGACCCTCGGTAAGTTCAAAACATACCAAATATCAAAAACAACATGTCCTCAAGTTGGCCAAAGTAGTCAATACACAATCTCATCTGGCGTTGACGTTGAGTGTGTGTAGGATTCTCGGTTTAACTGCGATCATTCAAATGGAGGGTCGAGTCATTTTCAATATCGTAGCTAGCTATATCGCGAGAATCAGCTAAACCATTTCCGTTAAACACAAGGTTTTGCAGATGAACTGGTATTCCTAGCTTATTTTGAATCATGCCCTTCACATTCTTGATCAACTCGTGCTGGTGCACGTCGAGTGTTATCTCTTGACCATTCGATTTCCTGATAACGATCTGTATTATTCTAGGCACCACTTGTAAGAGGGAGTCTTCTTTGATATCATACTGATATAATTCCTTCTGATCTTTCAGTTTCTGTTTTCCCAAAAACAGATCCATATCGTTCATCGACTGGCCAACTCTGCTCTCTATAACTGTTTTAACATCGCGAACAAATAAAGTAACTTTGACTTCTATTTGTATGATTTCATAACTTGGCATTACGACAGGAATAAGAAACTTGTCTTTAGGATTGAGCACGATATGAAGGGTCGATCCATCGTCAATATTGTGAAAAGCTAAGGTTCTGTTATCTTCAATAAACTTTCCATCATGAATAAGAGAGAATTCGTCTGAGTTTATTCCTTCTTTGGCCCCAATCCTGGATTTGACATCCTGGATAGTTTCATAAATCATTGAATTAACCGTAATTGTACCTTTTGCGTAGGCTCTCTTTACGTATAACATCACGGGGACTGAATCTTCAACGTAAGCATAAACAGTGGAGTTTTTGCGAATGCCATAATCGACTAGCTTCTGTTCATCCATTAGCCGATTATCTTCTGAAAACAGATGCTGAAGATGTTCAGGTACGTCCTCCTTATCGCGTAGTAACGCTTTGACATTTCCAATACTATCTGATTCCTTAACTTTTAACGCGACTGTTTTAGTGACTCTCAAGTATATAGTTATCTGCAACAGGATACAAGAACAAACAAAAGTAAGATTTAATCCATAGTTGCAATAATCAACATGGATTACTGCACAAAATTTAACAGATGCATATTGCAAGAAAGGTAATAACTCTGTTAACAATTATAAACATCATTCAACAGAAACAGTCTCTTGCAGAAATGCAGGGTAAGGTTGCGTACAATAGACCCTTATGGTTCGGCCTTTCCCCGGACCCCGCTCACAGCAGGAGCTTAGTGCACCCGGTCGCCCTTTATTCAACAGAAACACCCTAAACAACAATATAAACTGCAGCGTAAAATGTAGAAGTGCATTGCTCTCTTGGTACAAACAGGCAGAAATAACATCTCTAATCTATTTCCAGACGAAATATTGGAAAGAAACATAAAAACTATATTTCTTTCATCATTTTTTACTGAAATCAAATAGCATGTGCATACTATATATGTACAGATATCATGAACTACATTTGATGACTGATACGTATACATATTATTACATAGCACCACTGATGAACAATGGCATGTCCCTGTCGGGGCAGAGCTAGGATGGCGGATGGGGTTCATCTAAACCCCCTTCGTCGAAAAATTACAATATATATATATAAGGTCGAAAATTACACTATATATATAAAGTCAAAATAATAGATGTTGCATTTCCTCGGCTTGTTCGTATGTTTATTTTTTAATATTTTGAATCCCCTTAGTAAAAGTCCTAGCTCCTTCACTGGTCTCCTGTCATCTTATGTTATTTCTCTTCCATAAGATTGTAGGGTATAGTGCGACGTTCTATTATCTTATTTAACACATGCAATCGTACTGAGGCGTCAAATGCATGATCACGATGGGGATTTTGAAATAAGGAGAAACTTAGATTTCTTAAAAGTTTTTCTATCTCCATCTCCGAAAGATAAGACTACTAATCATCAATGTTGTACCTGTCAACTAATAATCAAATTCATTTTGTATTTGGCTGGATTCACTGGCTAAAAATTACAAAGAACCGCATCAGCTACAGAACAACCAACAACAACAACGAACCCATGGTATTCCCATAAATGGAGTCTGGGGAGGGTAGTGTGTACGCCAGTGGCGAAGCCAGAAATGTTTCCAAGGGTGTTCAGACTTGAAAGAACTAAAAGAAATTCCCGACAAAGGGTGTTCAATATATATTTTACACATCTAAAATCAATATTTTACTTATATACACAGTGTAATTTTTCGTAATATTTCGGTGAAGGGTGGTCAACTGGCTTCGCCCCTGGTGTACGCAGACCTTACCCCTACTTCACAAAGATAGGAAGGCTATTTCCGATAGACCCTCGACTCAAGGCACAATGAACATAAGCAACAATTAGCTACAGAACAACCAAAGTATGTTATATTAAAGAGGGCTCTTAGGTCTGTCTTAACTCATTAATTGAACAAATTGACATAATTAAATGCATGATTTTCTATTATGCATGGCAGATTGTGTACAAAGTTTCCTTGACTATAGCTTCTTTTAGATGTATAGAGACCTATCTTTTCACTTTATTTCAAATAATAATTGATACATATTGCAAGAGTTATCAGAAGAAGAAAAAAAAAAGGGATTTTGGGTAGAAGCAGAAATAATTTTGAACATAAAAAAAAAAGCTTCTCCTCAAAAGCAATTTTGAGAAAAATACACTTAGACGCATTTTTTAAAAGCTTGGCCAGACATTAATTGCAGCTCAGAAGTGTTTTTCAAATTAGTTAGCCAAACATAAACAGCTTCTCACCAAAAATACTTTTGAAAAAAGCACTTTTGAAAGATAAAACACTTTTCAAAATAAGCTTATTTTTGCAGCTTGGCCAAACAGGCTATTAGAGGTTGTTTGGCTAAGCTTATAAGCTGGTCAAACTGGCTTATAAGCACTTTTTGGCTCATCTACGCGTTTGGTAAAATTAAAAGTGCTTATAACTTAAGTGCTTATTAGCCAAAAATAAGCCAAAAGTCATAAGTTGGTCTCCCCCAACTTATCAAATTTCAGCTTATAAGCACTTTAGGTTTGACCAAAATATTTACTATTCTATCCCTAAAATACTTCTTTTTAAAACAGAACTCTTCGTATACCCAGTTCTTCAGCTACTTATTATTAATTTCAGCAATTTTATCCAAACATGTAACTGCTTATTTTTTAAATCAGCTTCAGCACTTAAAAGTGCTTTTCAACACCTAATGCTTATCAGCTACTCTAAATCAGCTAAGCCAAACGGGCTCTTAGTCTCAAACCCTGTATATGTGTTAAAAGTTCATTAAACAAGTACAAATAATTGATTTTGGACCCACTAAATTAAACGATCTTTGGCATAATCCTCAACTCTGAACCCATAAGGTTATAATCTTGAATCCGTCTTAGTGCGTTGTGGTCCTCCAAAATAATTGAGAGAGATCAGACAAATTACACATCCAACATAAGATTCTTTGACGAAAGAAAAGACAACAACAACGACAATAAATCCAGTGAATTTCAACAAGTGGAGTTTGAGGAGGGTAATGCGTACGCAAACCTACCCCTGTACTAAAAGAATAGAGAGGTTGTGTTTGATAAACGCTCGACTGAAGAAAAGATGAAAAAATGAAAAGAACCCGTGGCAACGAAAGAAAAGAATAAAAAAAAATCACATATAAAAAAAGTTCACGTTCTTAAAATTCTATATCAATAGTTAAGATTCACAAACAAAAAGAATAACAAATTCACAGATTTCAACTTAATAAAAGGAAAAAAAAAGTTCTCATTTGTATAAAAAGCTAACCTCTTCGTTTTCATCATCATCTTCTTCTACAGCTGTTTTCATTCGCTTCATGTTCGGCTCCATTTTCGCAAAGCTTGAATTCTCCTACAAAATTACACAAAAAGAAATAGCAAAACAGTGAAAAAAAGAAAATAAAAAGTGGTGAAAAACAGTTGAATTTATACACCTCCTATTAATCACATGAATTAGATTATGGTTAGACTAATAATGTAATTAGCACATTTACAGCTAATGCTTATGTAAATTCTTTGGATGAAAACATTTGAAATTGAAATAAGAATTTGAACCACTTAAATTTTCATTTTCCCTCTTAATAACCGATTACAGCAATCTGACCAAGTATA